TAGGTCCCTTCCGACCCTTAATCTATGAATCTATGAAATATGATCTAAACTGAGACTATAGATTCAAATTCCATTACCTGGGTTAACTTTTTATAGTTCTTATGTTCCTCAATAGGTTAACTATTTTGTCTCTCTTCTGCCTACCTCACCTCTCAGCAATGCCATGAGATAACTAAGTACTAAATCAATGCACAGTAACTTATGCTATAATGCAATAGCACTGGTCCATGGGTTTTTTCAGATGCTTACTGCACAGTAGCGTATTAACAGAGTTTTTTCCCAGCACACTACTGCGCAGTTAGCATCTCGTGTAGATGCACCCTGAAGGCACAACTCTTCCCTGTCTTCTGACTGAAAAAGATGTCATGGGTTCTCAATATAGGGCACATCTTATAACACATTCTTTTTTGTTCTTTTTGGAAAGCCTTAGCGGGCCATCAATTTGATCACAGCAGTGTTGATTTGATAGACATATTACTGCAAACACGTATACTTGGTTTCAGCTACCAGGATTACATCTTTCCCTATTTTTTACAACATAGACTATGGAGCACTTATGGCACATCTATATAGTAGGTTTACATAACATTTTCTGGCCTTAGCCCCTCAATTTTTTTTCTTTCACTCAGGCTTATTTAGTCTCATTAGGAATTATGTCATTGTCTTCTGCAGAGTTAAAATGAGGTGTTAGTCACAGCTCTGTAATTGTTCCTAATCTGCTTACCTTCTAAGCACTTCTATTTGTTTTTATTATAGGATGTTTTAATGAGTGTTCATTAAATCTAAATGTATTTGACTTTTTCCATAGACCTATGCAGAGGAATCTCTGGGCTACATTGTTTCCACAACTTCCATGTCTCAGACTGATATACAATCATAGAAAGTTAGGGTTGGAAAGGACCTCAGGAGGCCATCTAGTCCAACACCCTGCTCAAAGCAGGACCATCCAAGGATGGAGCTTCTGCCACCTCTCTGGGTAACCTGTTCCAGTCTTTTAATAGTGAGATTCTTCCTAGTATCTAACCTGAACTTCCCTTGCTGCAACTTGAGACCGTTGCTCCTTGTTCTGTCTGTCATCTGTCACCACTGAGAACAGTCTAGCTCCATCCTCTTTAACCCCCCTTCAGGTAGCTGAAGGCTGCTATTAAATTCCCTCGCAGTTTCCTCTTCTCTAGACTACATAAGTCCAGTTCCCTCACTCTTTCTTTGTAAGTTATGTCCCCCAGTCCCTTCACCATCTTTGTTGCCCTCCGCTGGACTCTCTCCAATTTGTCCACATCCTTTCTGTAAGGTGTGTAGGGGGCGGTGGGGGCCATAAAACGGAACACAGTACTTCAGATGTGGCCTCCCAAGTGCTGAATAGAGGGGAATAATCACTTCCCTTGACCTACTGGCAACACACCTAACAGTGCAGCCCAGTAGGCTGTTAACCTTCTTTGCAACAAGGGCACACTGTTCAATCGTATTCAGCTTATTGTCTACTGTAACCCCCAGATCCTTTTCTGCGGAGCTGCTACCCAGCCAGTCAGCCCCCAGCCTGTACTGGTACATGAGATTGTTCTGTCCTAAGTGCAGGACTTCGCTCTTGTCCTTGTTGAACGTCATGAGATTTCTTTTAGCTCAGTCCTCCACTTTGTTTAGGTCACTCTGAATGCTAGCCCTACCTTCGAGCATATCTACTACTCCCCCCAGTTTGGTGTCATTTGCAAATGTGTGATTCTAACAAAGTTAAGATGAAACAAAACATGGCTTTTTGGTTTTCTGTCCATCACGTTTCTTTCCAAGCAATATAAGTCTTCTTTTATAGTATGTTGGGTATTTCTGACACCATTTGAATTCCTTTTTAATTAGAAGATAAAGACTTTTGCAAGAATAGAGCTATTCTACATTTCAAAATATCAGAGATTTCCATTGCTAACATTAAAGCAGCTGTTTTGCCACAATGGGTTAAGTTTTATTCCTATGAATATTTGTATGACATTATTGTATTAGCATGAAGAGTACATCTGTTTGGAAACCCTGGTGTCCCAGATCCTCAACAGCTATTTAGGTGCCTAATTAGTAAAATTAACAGCAGTTATGTGGCTAAGTACCTTTGAGGTTTGGGGCCTATGTAACTGGAAAACTAATATGGGTCATTTTTGCTGGAACTTGAATTTTGATTTAAAAAATCCAAGTTTCTGACAAGCTGGTTCAGTTGTTATGCTTGGAAGCCTCCTACCATTCTTGCTAAGTTTCCTGAATAAGTAAGTACTTGGCAATGCAGCAATAAAGGCTGCCTTTTTCAGTTACTGCTTACTGGAGTAAGTATCCAAAATAGCATCCCACGCTGAATTTAACATTTATTTAAACACCATTCAGGAGGTGATACAAGTCCCTACAACAAAATGCATTTCATAATACTACCATTATATCTCCCAGTCAATAGTTTGTTGTTTGAAATAACTCACAGCATTATAAAACTATTTTGCATTCACATAGCTTAAAAACTCAGAGTTGCTATGCTTTAGTTCTGCAACTGAGGATATGAGAGTAACTGAAAGCGCAACACTTTATGCAGAAGAATTTGCCAATGCTAAATATATCAGCAACCCAGTATCTCCCGTTTAAGAATTCTGTTTAAGATTTCCTTTTTACATTGATATGACTTTTAACCCAGCCCCTTACACTCTTCTGCTGTCTGAATTTGACTCACAAAAACATAAGACTGTAAGTTGGTGACACATACCAAGGTGTCAGAGGAGAGGGAGAACAGCAGTTCATTAGCAGTGTACGAAAGTATAAGTTAGGAGTTGAATCTTGACTTTCATTTGCACCTTCACATGCCTTCTTCCTGCTCTTTGGTGGAAAATGACACCAATCTAGATTTCCTGGAGCATGGTGTTGTGGGTGCATGTTCTATGGAAGTCCAACTGAGTCTGTCCATCTTTTTGCATCACCTCTGAATCCAATCTTTGGAATCTTCTTCCAACAACTCCCAATAATGAGCTGCGTGTGTTTTTATTCACATTTTTTAATAAAACTGTAGCACTCTTTGAAAAAGAATTAAATTATTGTTTGACAAGTAACACCCACTCAGTAGGAAGAAAAGTACAACCATTTTAGAAAGGAAAATTTATTTGTAGTTACATGTACCACATATAAAATTAACATTAACTGAAACAGACATAATTTGTTTCAATACTTTGACTAAGCACTTACAATGTAGACTACAAAACTGTACATCTTAAATTTAGCAACTAACTCTTACAGCATAGTGCAATTGTAACATTTTATAAACAAAGAATTATTTGTGCCTTTTTTATTAAAATAAAGTGCATTAAATGGTTATCTTGTATACAACAAGAAGCTCTGTAATTGCTATCCCAAACTCTAATCTTTACAGAAACTTAGGTAAAACTCTTCAGCTTCCTTTTAACATTAATTTACAGACTAGTTATCTATTATTCAAATGTCAACAATGATTATGAGAAAAAAATATGTCACTGCAGGAAATAACCATAGATCTTCATGTTCTGAGCAAAGTAATTAGTATTTGTATGAAAAGCAGTTCATGCAAACTTCTACTTGGGCTCCTAGGGAGAGGTGTATTTTTGAAAACATCCATGCAGCTGCTGTTTCTAAAACATTACATAATTCAGGATGTAAATATCATATTGAAGTTACCAGCATTACGTGTTTGGGTGAACTATATTCAGTTTCCTAAGGAAAGCTGTCCTTGGAATACATTTAAGAGGATGAAAACTGTAACTGATGGGCCCTATTTTTTCATTTGTTTTTTACTACATATGGTAGGACAAAGAAAATGAAAAGAGATATTTCCTGGTACCTGCTTATTGGCCCACGGTATTCTACTCTGATGAGCTGGAGTTACCAGTAAATATCAAATCTTACATCTAGAATCACAGACACAGACTTTCAACATTTATATGCTGTAAAATATATTTTTTAAATAAACTCATTTGCAATTAATTTTCCTAGGTTTTTGCAATTATAGTAGAGCTAAGAGGAAAAAAAGGAAGAACTACTGTTAAGGTGTGACTCCAAACTGCTGAAAAATAGAGATGTGAAATAAAAAGTGGTCTACAGAGGTCTACTGTACCTACTCTTTGTAGCTCAAGTAAGAATAGAAATTAAATGCTCATTGACTTTAACGGGTTTTGAATGAGGCCCCATTTACCCAAAGTCATAGTCTGCTGAAAGCAGAAGCAGAATTTCCATAGGCTTCACTGAGAACCTGATTCAAGAATAGGGGAGTACTACCATAGGCTTTTCCTTATGATTCGTTTATATTACCCACAATAGTAAAAATTGTCTGCTTGCTCACCAGTTGTAATTCCTCTCATGTTTTGGTACAAATCGCTCAAATATTTCTGCTTGCTGCTAGATCTGTTTCCTACTCTTACCATTATTAAGTTTTAGGAACAACCACATTAAATGGAAGTAGACAACTATATTCTGCTGCTACGCACTGGAACCACTGTTGCACAGAAAACTATGCACCACAACATATATTCCACAGCACTGAGTGTCATGGGCCCAGGACACTTTTCTGTTCCCAGGGGAGGGGAATAAAAATGGAAAACAGAAGAAAGGATCAGGAATTGACAGTCAAGTGAAGTATGCTCACTCATTCCTACGAAGTCTGCAGAAAAGTCTCTGCACTAACACCACCTGATGAGAACCGAGAGCATAGTGCCCCCCGTTGAAAGCAACATGATTTGACACGAGGATTTAATACAGCTCGAGAAGAACTACCTCTGGCTTTATGCTTTCTATTTTCCTTTTAGCCTTCAAAATGAGCTGCAAGGATCTGAGAGGAACAAGCCAAGGACAGTCAAGGAGTCTTACGGTGGGGGCTGACTGAACACACTAATTCCACAAATTTAAACAGCATGTTTCCTGAAGATCTTGGGGTAACTCCATGTTTGGTGGACCATGTCTCTGCCCTCTTTACATACTCTACTGTCCCTTTCCTGAAGGAAGACTAGAATAGACTGAGTTTTTATAGGTGGGACGTGTTAAGCATTACCCAGGCAATGTCAAATGAGAGCTAGGAACAATCAATACCTTACAGGATCAGAGCCAAGATAGAGATTTTAAAACGTATTCTCTTCTGTGGGGTTTTCCCAGAGAGAGGGTGGGAAACTATCAAATGTTGCAGTGATGGAGCTAGATAAGATGGGGGTTATTTCTAGCAATGGCCAGCATTAGACACTCCTGAAACTGCACAGCAGATGAGTATAGGGAAAATGTTTTCCTGCTTCCCACTAATGGGCGGTTAGTTTATGCTATAGAACATGAAGATTTATATCCCTTTCAAAAACTCGTTTCTTGTCTGTTAAGCTCTTCCCACTGTAATAGGGAGATGTTTTCAATATCTGTCACCATAACCACCCTTGTTTTTAATCTTATTTAGGTCTTGGTCTTAAGGTCCACTGACTGCATTCTGGCCACCACAACCTGGTAATGGAAGCTTACGTTTGATGAGATACTAAAATGTTCTAGAAGACCATCTTTGTGTGTTGTACAAGTGGAACATATGGAATTATTTTGCTTCCAGTATTCTTATAATAAAGTCTGCATGTAGGTATTTTTAACCCAGTCAGCACATGAAAAAGGATTTATCCAGTTCTGTTTTTTATTCATTTGTGAACATACAAGTAGCATTGGTGTCCAATTTGGAAAGGTGTGGGACCTTCATGCCCAAAGGTGAGGAGTGTGCCGCCCCTGCAAGATGGAGGAATTTGGGTTGTGTAATTAATATGTTGGGAGTTTTCCTTGAGTAAGGAATCCCAGACCAAGGCAATACTCAGCTATCCCTGCATTTATAATTTCAGTACCCTTTGCAGTTTAGGACTGAATGTGTCAGTATACGCAGAACTACTGCTGTAAACAACATGGCAACAATTTACTTCATCCTTTTTCTAAAATCAAAACTCCTACCTTTTTTTTTTTAAGGAAAACATAAATGGATATAGAACTTTCTGACTAAAAGTGTTGCAGCCATTTAGGGAAGTCTTTACACCAAACTACAGAAGTATTACCCAATCAGAAATGCATGTATTACAAGATATTATTTATTGCAATCATAGATTTTCTTTGAAAAACGTGACAATGTGTGACTGACTTTATTTTTAAAGCACCTTATTAAAATCTTCTAAATGGTTCTTTACCTATCCAAACACTACTTAACTTTAAAAGGTAAGAATATAAATTCCTTATTTACAAGGGGCTATGCTACCTCTGAACCTTAAAAAGGTAGATCACTGAAACGAAATCTGTATTGTACCAGATTTCATACTCATTGCTGTAAGTAAAGAGTAACCATTCTCTTTAGCCATTACTAGAATGACTGCACCAACGTGGAAAATCAAGTCTATATAGCTATCATTACAGTACTTCATGCTTTTTAAAATTTCACTCTGCTGAGAATATGAATTATTTTGTTTAGAAGTTACCTTAAATAATACTCAACAGCTCTACCAGATCTGACTCTTTGCTGGCTTTCTTTGTACTCCTAGTTTTATGGAAAATGAACTTTAAAATTAAATCAAAACCATTCCACCTGGATAACCCTCATGCTATTTTGTTTGGTTTCATATATAGTCCTCCAATAACTCTAAAATATGCCTACAAATTAGATCAATTGCAAAACAGCAAAGTCAGTGGGAGAATTTCAGAAGTACCTAAAGGCTTTAGGACCCCAAGTTCTCTTAAATGTCCATGGAATTTATGTGCCTTGATCCCACAGACACATTTGGAAATATCCCCCATATACCTTATACAGCAATGAAAAAATCTATTTTCCATGAGTTTTATAATAATTGCAATGATTGTAAGGTTTGGAGGACAATCATCATTTATAAACTTCTTCAGCTCCATCTCATTTCTTATGTTGGAAAATGTTCAATATCCTGTCACTACAGGTTTGTATACTGCAGTACAATACAGTACTCATTTGCTGCTCATCTAGAAGGGGTGGTTAAATTTACAGTATCTGCAAGAGCTGTGACAATATATTCCAGCATTTAGTCTGTAATATGGGTGGTAGCATCTTTAAAATCATTATCACAGAAGCAAGTTCAGTAAGTATTAAGGGCTTGTGTCCTCTTCAGAAAAAAACAGAAACATACTTTGATGCATCCTGTGCACTAACTGGCTGCTGCATCATGTCCTAAACCCACAGTCCTTTTCTGTGGAAAACTCCCAGTAACTTTGACTGGAGTTATGCAGGATTGCAGAATCAAGGCCAGTGATATTTCGGCAAAGTAGCATCAGATGTTTGCACATTGCAAAGCTACTCATTTGTGTATACAGATAAGGTGGTTAACACGAAAAGTCTATGTTTACCAGCAGCTACCATCAGAACACAGATACTGCTGTACTGGTTTAGCCCAATAGTCCATTCTTTTCCCAACTGCTACGTGACTTTCAGAGGAAGGCTTATGCATCCTCAAAATGTATGTTTGTAAAATAACTTACTAACGCGAGTTTTTTTTTTTTTTTTTTT